GGGCTCTGTGGCGGAGCTGTACTCACTGGGCTCTGTGGCGGAGCTGTGCTCACTGCGCTCTGCTTCCCTGAAATGAGCTGCACCAGCGCATCGCCTGCGGACTGTTGCCTGTGCGGGCAACAAACCCACAGAATCCGTCAAACACCTAGAAGGGGTGTAACGACTCCCGGTCATTTATTCTTGAGAAATAAATCTAAATGGCACGACTTCACGCAAACCCTAAGAACAGATCTCTAGAAAAGCGCCTCATTAAATAAAATGTATCATTGCCATTCATTCCAATGACCAAACAGGTAAATCTACTAAGCCTTGACACGGACCTGCAGAGAAAGTTTCTTCACTCGGGAGCTATAAGGAAGAACCAGGCGACCATTAGAGAAACAGATTAATCTTTATTGGTTATAAAGGTGAATTTGATCCGACCAACATATCACAAGACGGCGATTACAAAAAATTACAAATATAGATTCGTGTACGCAGATTCACACGGGAAGCGTTGTATAAATCTGTCACCCAACAAATCTTCTTTTAAAAAGAGGGACTTTTGCAATTAGTGTCACAGAGTTATACAGCACAGAAACAGACCTTTCGGTCCAACCAGTCCATGCCGAACATAATCCCAAACAAAACTAGTCCCACCTGCCTGCTCCTGGCCCATATCCCTCCAAACCTTTCCTATTCATGTACTTATCCAAATGTCTTTTAAACATTGTAATTGTACCTACATCCACCACTTCCTCAGGAAGTTCATTCCACACACGCACCACCCCCTGTGTACAAAATTATGACTGTTTTTTCTTTTAACATCCCATTGCTTCCAAGGGCCACCACCCACCCCACAAAAAGCTGCAATAGGCAAAACAATTAATGACATTTGCAGTTTTAGGACTTGTTCATGTCCAGCATTTTGAGTTATCTTTGATTTTTTTCACTGAAACTTCGGAGGCTGAGGGGTGACCTTATTAGAGGTTTACAAAATCGTGAGGGGCATAGATAAAGTGAACAGCAAAGGTCTTTTCCCGAGAGTAGGGGCGTCGAAAACCAGACGGCATAGCTTTAAGGTGGGAGGAGAAAGATTTAAAAGGGTCCTGAGGGGCAAGGTTTTCATACAGACTGTGGTGCATATATCCAATGAACTACCAGAGGAAGTGGTGGATGCAGGTACAGTTTCAACATTTAAAAGATATTTGGATAGGCACACGAACAGGAAAGGTTTAGAGGGATACGGACCAAACTCGGGAAACGGAAACGGGTTAGTTTCGGAAACTTGGCCGGCATGAATGATCTGGACGAAGGGTTTGTTTCCGTGCTGTGTGACTCTATCACATATTTTATACAGGAGGAGGAGATATATAAAAAACACATTACAAGTGATCGTGAGGTAAAGGCAGTACGGGTATTAACTTTATCCCATCATTACCTATATCCCATCAATAGCTTTATCCCACCGTTATAATATTAACATTAGGGAAAATCTTGCGAGCAATTTACTTGACATTCAGTTCGTTCGTACAAGCCGAGAGAAAGTTGTGAAGGATAAAGGTATAAAACGTTACTCAGCATTGAGCAGAAGGCATAGTGACATTAATGTCGCTATTAGCGCTGGCACTGAGGTACACACACCTGGTTCCCATTTTAAGGCCGGTCTGAGAACTCTGCGCAGAGATGCAGTTTCGAGGTCCAACACCCTGCGACAAGCTTAATTCCTGGTTCATGGCTTCGCCAAAACTCTCAGTAGAACAAGAGTTATTCCAAACATTTGACAGAGACATTTTCATCAAGATCGAAGGCGGAAGGTTTGCTGAGTGGAAGGAGTTGGATAAATACTATATACATATATAAAACAAACGCCGGGGCCCTGGGGATGGGATAGATTGGAAAGTTCTGTCAAGGCGCTAGTACAAGCATGATGGTTTGAACGGTCTCCATATGGGGTGTAACATTCTAACAGTCCAGTAAACAGCGGTGCAACGACAGCTTAAATTTGGTTAAAGGGTAAAAACTGTGAGTCAGTTGGACCAGCACACTACTCAGACAGTCCCTGGCTGTTGTCTACACTGCACTCCCCTGGTTACGCAGGGAGAACATAAAAGTGGAATCGTTTCTCTCGATCTAACACCCAGACCAATTCTGTCCCACCCTCTTTCCCCGCTGTTTAGCGCACAGTCCTCCAGGATGAAGGCTTTTTTTTCAGAGTTATAGAATCCCTACAGTGCGGAAGCAGGCCATTCCGCCCATCGAGGCTGCACCGACCCTCCGAAGAGCATCCCACCCAATCCCTGTTACTCCGCACGGGGTATTTCCCGTGGCTGACCTGCACATCGCTGGATACTGTGGGGCATTTTTGTTTTGGTTTGGCATGGCCAGTCCCCCTAAGCTTTAAGATTTATTTAAGAATGGGAATTCGCACTGGACTGCACTGATGCTGTCAATGCTAGGCTTGTTGGAGATCTGCGGGTGGTCCTTTCTGATTGGGAAAGTCTCTGATCGGGGCATCCTGCAGGCAGGCTCTGCGCCTTGGTGCTTGTTGCACGTGTCAAAATTGGGGAAGGTGAAGCGCCTGAAGAGTCTGTTGCCCAGGACAGTGAAGGTTGCATAGCTGGTACTGGGCGAGTCCTTGGCTTTGCTGGAGGGTAGCTGCTTCTCTGGTGGGTAGGGAGACAGGGCTCTGGTGGGGAGGCTGCACCTCTTCTGGAAGTAACTGGTCAGCCCCCGGGAGTCCCTGCCCTGTGTGGCTGACCCTCTCTCGGCGGACGTCGACATCTCCGTGTTAGCCCTGGTCCAAGCCGCTGCCCGCTGCCTCCGGGTCTCGGTTTCGCTCTTGGCCGGCCGAGGGGAGTAAAGGGTCGGCGTTCTGAGGGTGCAGATCTTCGAGAAACTGCTGAGAGGAGGCAGGAGGCTGGCGCAGGAGTCACCACCATCCTGGAGGCCGTGGGAGCAAAGCTGAGGTGACCGGTGTTCCCAGTGGGATGGGGGTTGGTCCTGTGCCAGGTCCTCATCTTCATCCTGATCCCTCTCCTCATCGATGGATCCCATAGCATCCCGGCCAGTCCTGAAAAGAGCTACTTTGTCCATGTCCAAGGCCAAGGGAGTCCTGAAGTGACCAAGGAGGTGTTCAAGGCACTGACTAGGAGAGTCACCAGGGGAGTGACCAAGGAGATGATCAAGAGAGTGACCAAGAGGATGACCAGGGGAGTCACCAGGGCAATGACCGAGGGAGTGTCCAGGTGAGTGACCAGAGGAGTGCCCGAGGGAATGACCAGGGGACTTACCGAGGGAGTGACCAGAAGAATGACCAGGGGGGTGATCAGGGGAGTGACCAGAGGAGTGTCCAGGGAGGTGACCAGGTGGGTGACCAGGAGTGTGACCAGGGGGGTGACCACAGGAGTGACCAGGAGTGTGACTAGGGAGATGACCAGAGGACTGACCAGGGAGATGACCAGAGGAGTGACCAGGGGGATGACCAGAGGAGTGACCAGAAAAATAACCAGGGGGGTAACCAGGAGTGTGACCAGGGGGATGACCAGAGGAGTGACCAGAGGGATGACCAGAGGAGTGACCAGAGGAGTGACCAGTGGGGTGACCAGTGGGGTGACCAGGGGGATGACCAGGGGGATGACCAGGGGAGTGACCAGGGGGATGGCCAGGGGGGTGGCCAGAGAAGTGACCAGGGGGGTGATCAGGGGGGTGACCGGAGGGATGACCAGAAGGATGACCAG